CCTTTTTCTAGAGCTATAGGAATCTATGTGTCCCCTTTGGCAACATAGTAACTTTGGGAAAAACATATTTGGCGGCAAGTATTGTGATAGTGTCACTAAAGAATGATCAATTTAGTACATGGATCTGGGGAAAACTAGGCATGTGTCTACTTTGGTCAAATTTTTCAAGAAAAATGATCTATTTGGCATTACTGTAATACTGACAATATTTATTTTTAACACTTACAGAAAATTATTTTGCATGTACAGTCAGTTCTGCTACAACACTTGTTTTGAAAACGTTAATTTGTTCCCTTGCTATTGGTATATTTGAGAACTTAAGACAAATTTTGTGTTTGCATATGCACAGTTCCATCTGTCAAAAGTACTGGATGAATGCAGAAAACTGCATACAGCAGAATGAGTCTGTATGACCACAAATGGGTGCATGCATACTCCTGAAACATCCACCAGCTATTTCAGTCTACCATATGTGTTGGGAGCCTCACCCATCCACATTCAGTGTTGTAACTTTCTGTCCTGGTCAGACAACTCTCCTTCTACCACTGCAAAGTAACTCGCAATTTGCAACCCCTCTGACACTCACTTTTATGAGCAAACTTCAGGTGTTTTTAAAGATAAAGTGTCATATTTGGTATGACATTCAAGTATTTCTTAACCATTAATATGTGTAAATGATGCTACTATTCTTATTAGGTTCATTTAAAAAAAATGTGTCACTGATGATTTTGAGTGTTGTGCCCCTGACCTCATCTTCCCACAAACTTTTTTTCCTATGCACAATTTTGCATAGTACAGTGAATTTGAGAAATGTATGCATCGCCTTGTAGCAAAGCTGACTGTATGTGTTAATGAAATGTAAGGGGCAAAACACCCTGACAGACACCCTGATAAGTTCCCACACAGTATTTCTGAACAAAGATACTCTAATTTCTGGTGAAAACTTTCCCTAACACATGACTCAAAATAAAGTTTATCTGCAAGAAGAGAGAAAAAAAAATTGCATGACAACTTTTCTCCTTCCATTTACCTTTTGGAGACAAGAGCAATGTTGTTTCTGACGGCTTACACTTCTATTAACAGCTCTGCCATACATAAAATGTCTTAGATCTTCAGTTTGGAGAAATTTTGCCCCTGAGAAATTATCTTACAAAGTTATTTTAGGACCTCAAACCTGAAAATGGCTCCTATCCAAGTATATTATGTGAGTTAGACCTTTCCATTTGGAAACTTAATTTACTTTCAGAAAGCTTTATATGTATGTCTAGATATCCATATTTGCATAATCATCACTCCCCCATTCTCCCTTCCATCTCTCTCTTGGGCACAGAAGTGTATGGTTGCCAGATAGATTTGGAATTGAGTGCGTGTGACTCTTAAACCCCTGGAACTGGTGTTCTAGAGCTCCTGACACTGAACACTAATGTATTTTTCATTAGTGTTTAATGTTGGGAAATCCCATTTCATGGAGCCAAAGGATTAAATTACTTCATTTGGGAGGGAATAAGTACATTCATTCCCCCATCTTTTTCCTGAGGTGAAAAAAAGAATGAATCTAAGATCATTTGCATTTCATAAAGGCTTAAGGTCTGGATGTATTCCACTCAGTGCAACAATCCAATACTGTGAAAGCATTTAAAGACAATATTAACTAGTAGGGAAACCTCCACATATTTGAAATGTGAGAATAAAAATATACAATAAAACAGGTGAAAATCAAGGTATCCCTATACATGGATATGGATGTGGATATACATACACATATATACAATATATACTCGAAATGGCTATACAAACCAATTCTACTTGTAGCAGAAATGTTATAATAATAATACCATGATTATGCTTTACAATGAAGTAAAGTTTTGTCGTTTTTCATAATAACAAGAGACTTGCAAAGATTTTGAGGAAGTTTAGCAGGCAGTAAATCTCGATAATAGTGATTCTCTTTCTTTTGAGCAACTGGCATGGAAGAGAAATTTACTTTCTTTTGCACAACTGTGCTGATGGAAACCCTACTGATTAGGCTAGTAGATGTCACACATGTTGTTTAGAGAGATTCTGAACACAAGACCTTACAATGACCCCTCATCTTCCTCTAACCCTGAACTTTCACCCTTTGCCTCCCTTCTTTCTAGTCATTAAGTGCTTTCTCACACGTGGCTTTAGACAGCAGATCTGTAAGGTGTCACTGCTGCTCTTTTCACATCATGGAAGGGCATTATTTTTGAGCACCCTCTTCAAGGTGTCATTGTTCTTCCATATGGCTCTGGGAGAGATTCCACTGAGGCCTCCAAGGGAGAGACCTACTTCTCTGTGAATAATTGAATAGATATACAGTGGCTACATCAGAATGAGAGCCAAAGGGAACACTGAAGGTGGTTATTTAGGTCTCATGGACCAGTAAAACTTTTTCCTATCAGCCAAAGCTTTTAGGGATTTTTCTCTATACCCAACACTGTGATCAATGCTATGTGGCATACAGGAAAAGCAGAAGATGACCTTATTCTAAGAAACTTGGAGTCTATTTTGGGAGATAAAACAAAACACATAGAATAACAAGGGAATGGTGTAATATTGCCAACTCAGAGGCCAATTATATAGTAAGAACAACAAATGTTAAAACCAGAGAATACAGTCATATTTATTTTCCAAAATAGCATAATGGAAAGTGTGCTGGGCTGAGAATCATCAGATATGGGCAGGCAAAATCATACAAGTTGAGTGACTTTGAGCAAGGCCCACAGCACTTCACTTCTCTGGGCCTTGGGTTCCTCATCTGTAAAATGGCCAGTGGAGAAAGGGGGTAGGGCTAAATTAGGTGATCTCTATGATTCTTTCCAGTCTTAAAATTTTATATTTCTACAATATTCAATGAACTGTTACTGGCATACTATGTTCAAGCACATTTTACATGAATTCAATTGAATTGTTAGGAAAAAGGATTGTTATTCTCTTTGTTTTCCAAATGAGAGGTTAAAGCTTCTAAGTGGCAGGAGCAGAACTTAAACCCAGGTTTGTTACACATCTAAATCCTCTGCTTACTCCACCATTCTGTGCTGCATACCATTATACCACACTGCCTGCCTTTCTACATTTAAGGACTTATGGTCTAAGAAGGAAGCAGACATATAAACTTAAGTGAAAAATCCAGAAAATATGGAGGATTCTGTGTCTCTAAATCTTAAGAGGGAAAAGAAAACTTGTATTACAGAGATCTACAATCCTGGGGATGGAGCATTAGCCAGAGAGCCAGGAGATGTGGGTTCTAATCATGACCCTTCCACTAACTTGCTAAGTGTCCCTGGACAAATTTTCTCATCCATAAAATGAAAGCATCTCCAGGGTCTTTTGGGTTCTAACATTCTATGCTTCTTTGAGTCTCAAGAATCGATAGTATACTTCTAGTTATGGTTATGAGTATGAGCCCAGAGTTTTAAAAAAGTTAATGAGATGTTAAGTACTTATGATGATTTTTTTAGTGGATATGGGATTTGAGCTGGGCCTGGAATAATGGGAGTGATTTAGAAAATTCATGAAGCATTTTAATTCTTTTTAAATATACAAGGATAGCTGACCATCTAAGGAATCCTTTATATAAAATGAATGATCACCACTCCTTTTCATATCTATCTTTTTTACAATTCAGATTTTCATATAGCGAGTTTATTTAAAGGGAGAGGCACCTGTACTAGAAAATATAGCCAAGAATGTGCCATGCTCTTGGGACAGTAATATCATTTTTAAATATGGAAATTGTGCCAATGTCTTTCAAATTCAAGTTTGAAGTGGAAGGATTGAAAGACATGGGTTTTTTTTTGTTTTTTGGGGTTTTTTTTCTGTGATCAGCCACTGCAAAGTGAGCCTCAGCACAAACCAGCAGAGCCCTTTGCTAGGCATCGAAAGCCTCTGGCGTTTTTCTGCCTTTCAACTCTCAGCCATTTGGGAGGTGGGACAAAGCTATGCTGTCTACAAAGTTTATCCAGAACGTGCTGGTGTTACAAGAAATCATTTGACATCTATTATGTTTCTCCCATGGAGGAGAGGTGGCTATCAGCTACAATAGTGATTTCTTTTCAAAGGGGTTTAATTGGGATATTTCTCATGGGCCAAATCCTAACTCACTATCTTTACGTGTGCCTGCCAGGAAAACAGTGGAAAAATACCAAACAATAGCAACGACAGAAGTCTGAGGACCGCTGTCTCAGGCTGTCCCCTCTGCATACAAGCAGAAAAAAATGGTTTCCCTGCTGCCTAAGCTGCTGCTAACATGGCAGAGCTCCTAGAAAGTTGTAGCAAGAGGGGAAGGAGTACAGACTGTGCTTTCCATGGCCATGGAAATATGTATAACAACCTGAACAAACGCCTTTTAGCCCACCTTTTACAAGTAGCACTCCGAGTTGTTTTTTGGGGGGAGGGCAGGGGGCTGTTGGCTGGCAAAGAGATTAGTCTTACAAACAGCTGAGTGACACACTCATGAGCTGTTTTTCTGAAGTATGGATTTGTTCCTGTGTAGGCAGGCTTGCATCCTTTCCTGAGGTAAACCAGAAGGTGGCCTTATATTTTTATTTGAAGTGCCAAATGATTTTCCTTGCAACAAATTTGTGCCTTTCACTGGTATTTTCTAGAGTGAGATTTTTGCAACTGATGGAAATCAGCTCACTTCTGTTCTGTAACTTAGTGTCTTGTTGGTGATTTATTTGTTCAGTAGCAGAAACTATGACAAATGGTGTGAGGCGGCCTCATTTACTTTTTAGCTGCTATAGCCCTGAAGAATTTACATGTAAATGCAACTGTGAATGTTTTACATTTCATAGGCACGCTGCATGTGCTTTTGGAAGTTAAGTGACATTTTTATGGATAGACTGAACTTAGAACTCTCCCCCCCACCCCACAGGTTATATTATTTGAAATTCGGGTACATCTGTTATGCTGTGTTTTTCTGACTGCCAAGTGGAAGAATAAGTCTCTATTTTGTGTTTTTCTTCTATTCTCTTTAGATGCGCAGAGCAGCCCACATAACCAGTTCACCTTCAGACCCCTCCCACCACCTCCACCACCTCCACATGCCTGCACCTGTGCCAGGAAGCCACCCCCTGCAGCAGACTCTCTTCAGAGGCGATCAATGACAACCCGCAGCCAGCCCAGCCCAGCTGCTCCAGCGCCCCCGACCAGTACACAGGATTCAGTTCATCTGCATAACAGCTGGGTCTTGAATAGCAACATACCATTGGAGACCAGGTACTTGAGCTATTATTGATCTGACTAAACTTAAGTATTGGCAGAGGATGGTTCCACTGATTGCGGAAACTCATTTCACCATAGACATCTGCAGAGACACACAAATGTACACACAGATACACACCCAGCTGCATAAGCAAAAGGAAAGACTCCTCCATAGGCACAGATGTGCACACAGGCACACATCTAGATCCAGGCACACCCACAGACACAGACCAAAGCAGATGCACGTGAAAAAGATAAAACCACAGATGCATAAACACCCCACTGTTGCACACCCGCAAAAACATGAAGTGAAGCAATTATCCAAGCTGTCACTGCAGCCTCCAAGTGAAAGGCAATTGTCCCTTGTTTTAAGAAACTGCAGTATTATAGGAAAATCCTAACACAAAACTAACACACAGTGATAGTTTCCATTTTATTCATTATAAGATTCTTTGAAAAGTAAGTTACCTTCAAACGTTTAAAAAAATAAAAGGATTCACCTCATGAAGTGGAACTATATGTGTAGGTTTAAAAGCTAGTTTCTGCTTTTAGGATGAAGTTTGGTCTTTTGAGCAAAAATGTTTGCCTCCGTTTTTCTGTCACTTCACATATTTGGGTTTCCAGATTCACTCCACAGATCTTTGTTGTGTGATTAAAGTTCTACTCTCTGCAGTTCTAGGGCCCTTGATCATGATAAACTTTAGCACTCTATATGATTAACTGAGAAATTATTCATCATTTCTAGTCACTCTTTCTTAAATCAAAAATTACAACTTTCTATTAACATGAAAAACACAAACTAACAAATAAACATAGCATCCTGTTATCTTTTAAATTCAAAGATTTCCCCTTGTTTGTGTGCCTTATTTAGATCTACCACCAAACTTTTTCTGAAGACATTCGTATGGAAACAATAGGAGTAACATATCACTTTATAAACACTGTCTAGTTATCAACTTCTATCCTGATATCTGGAAATTAGAATGGAAAGGGAAGGAATAGTCAACTCACATTACAAGACTGGTTGTTTTCTTTTTTTCCTTAGCAGCATATTAAATTAAATACCAGCCATGGCATCAGAGAATATGTCACTATCAACAAACCAGAAAAGTACTATGGCCCACATCCAGGAAACTCTACATCAACTGTCACTTACCAGATTAAATAGTTCCACAAAGTGCTGTTTCTGCTATCTCCCAAGAGAAAATATAGCAGTCAGCACCTATGGTGATGATAATAACCCAATTAGAACTGTACTAGTGATAGGGTTTGTGTATTGTTTCTTTTTTTTTTAATTGAAAGGGGGGAGGTGAATAAAGTGCATAAGTGGAGAACAGTGTATATCTTCTTCAAGAAGTTTTCTAACAGTGGTGATTTTCTCATTTTTCTTGTAATTAATTTGCAGGGCTTAGTGATAGCTGAGGAAACAGCAGGGCAATATGGTTAACTAGCAATTCTGACAAGCAAACACACTCCTTTCCTCTACAAAGCCAAATAACAGGAAATCTGGAAGGAGGGTGTGGAATGGGTTCAGGCAAATGGAGAGAGAAAACTATTCTTATTTGAAATGTACATCTAGGCATGTTTGTACAAACTGCACCCACGGACCTTCTGTATCTATGCAAGGAATGTATTAATTGGTCTCAGTTTCTTAAGACGTAGAGAGGAACATAAGTTTTCATGTGAGACTGAACAGAGTACCTTTTTAGTACATTTGAAAATATATTCAGCATCACAAAGATGGATTTTTAAAAAAATCTATCAGCCTGATCATTTTTCCAAATATATCATTTTAAATGTTCATTTCACATGTAGTCAATAAAAGGTAACTGTGGGTGCCCAGGAGCTTAAGTCTGAGTTCTGTGACAGAACCTGTCTGAGCCTCAGCCTCTTCATCTGTAAAAATGAACATAAAAATGCTTGCCTTCCTAACAAGGAAGATCAAGTTAATGTAGTAGCAAGTGCCTCATACACTGTAAAGCACTATATAATTGAAAGGCAGCATTGCTATCCCTACTAAGTGGTCACCTGCCTCTGCTTAAATAGCTCCAAAATAGGGAATCAACTTATTCCTAAGGCATTCCATTGCACCTCAAACAACTGCTGGAAAGTTCTTTTTGAGCCAAAATCTGCCACTTGTTAACTCTGCCCATTTTTCCCCAGATCTAATTTTAGGGTCCCACAGAATAAATAAAATCCCCCTCACACCTGACAGACCTTGACTGTTCCTGAGTCTTATCTTCTTTGGGCTAAATGTTTCCCCAGTTCCTTCAGCTGTCCCTCACATTAACTGGTTTCAAATGTCCCCTCCTGGTCTCCTTCTTTAGAATACATTCCAGTTTGTCCAAACTACTCTTGAACTGTAATGCCCAAGGCTGAATGCAGGTGTGGGTTCTTATTAGGCTCTTTGGTTGCAAGGACCAGAGGTCATTCAGGTTGCCTGGAGTAATTGAGAACATCTTTTCAATATGTGTGTGTTGTCAGACCTTGGGAACCCAGGAAACACTGGTCAATTTCGAAAGGAAGGGCAAAGCCTGTCGATCTCTGACATTAATAAGATTCAGCAGTTCTCTGCAGTTTTACTCCTTTCTGTCTCTTTGTCCAGTAGCTTATTCTTCCCATCAGCTCAATATTTATTTTGTCTATCACATATTTTCTACTGTCTCATAACAATGTCTGGTCTCCATTGCACCACTCAACTGCAAGTATACCCCCTGACCCCTCTCACCTCATCCGTGCAGCTGCTTGGCCCATTGATAACTGCCTAATTATCTTAGTTGCTCTAGGTTCAAAAACCTAAGAGAGGGAATTTAATTATCCCAGATCATCCCTTCTGTACCAGCCTGTGTTTAAGTTTTTGGCAAGTCCTGTCAGTTATTCTCACAGCCAGCTGAGGCTAGGTGGGGAAAAAAGTCCTGTGGTTAAAAAACAATAATATGGCCACCTATAACTGTCCCTTGAGCAAGGGCTGGAAACAGTTCCGATGCCCCTTCGATGGGACTCTCAGCCAGTAGTCACCTTGACCGACTCATTCAGGACTATGTTCTATGACCAACAGTCAGTTGCCTCCTTTGTTCTAACTATATATTTTAGTTCATGCTATTTATTCTAATGTCAGCTTTTTTGATGGCCACATGACACTACCCATATACATTGAGAACACTGGAAACTAAACTCCTAAGCATTTTAAACAAATTCTGAGGCTAAGCCACATGTTATTTGTTCTATAATTATATTGTCGAAGCTTTTAAAATTGTGTGTTTGAGATGAGAGGTACTGGTGGAAATATGTTTAGAGCCTTGATTTGGCCTGATTTGATTTTATATTGTTAGCATGTGGAGGTGTTACTGAGTTCTAATTCTGCCATGCAAATTATGTGATTTTGCTCTCAAAATTGTATCATCTATAGATCTATAGGTTTGTTAGGTTTGCTTTCCTCTGTTTTATGAAGTCACTAATAAAAATGTTATATGGGACCAGATCAAGGTCACAGCTCTGTGGCATGCCACTGTTGACATTCATCCATCAGGCAGCATTCTTTTACTCACACACAACCTATATTTTTCCATCTTATTCACAGGCATATCATGAGAGACCTTGTCAAATGCCTTTCTGATATCCAGATACAATATGCCTACATTTTTACTGATCTGCCAATCTAATAACCATGTCAAAAATAGAAATGAAATGAGATTTGTCTAACATGACTTGTTCTTAGAGAATTTATGCTGCCTTCTCGTGATTACTACTTTTTTTTCTAAGTGCTGCAAATCATCCTCTAATTAACCTGTTCTAGAATTTTGCACTCAATCAACATGTTTCTTGGTCTAGTCAACAGAGCCCATGTGCTTCCTGTCCCTTTTGAAAACCAAAGCCAATGTTTTCTGTCTCTAGTATTCTGCCATATTTCACCCACACCACTGTCCCTGAAACTTTAGTGACTGTACCTAGGTAATCCAATATCCAAGACCTCTCACCACTCTGGGATAGAATTTTCAATTCACTTAGAATACTCAAATGTTTTTTTTTATTAACACTTTACCTATCTTAGCTTCAATTTATTGTTATTTATATTTATTTTACCCTTTTGAGTTTATTATCTTTCTTTTTCACAAAGAAAACTAGTACAGTAGTTCAGAAGACCTTCCTGATCATTTAATAAACAACTGCATAGGTTACATGTCTCTCCTACCCTTGTTCTTCCTTCCTTAGTGCTTTTTTAGAAAACACTTTCCTGTCATCTTTAGCAGATTTTTTCAAGCCTCAGGCTCATTTGGGGTATATACTTTTTTGGCATTATTTTAATTTTCCCTCATATTTATTTATACTTTTTTTTCATCACTTTATTTTAGTACATGTTTGTTTTTTTGTTGTTGTTTTGTTTTGACAGAGTCTCACTCTGTTGCCCAGGCTAGAGTGCCATGGCATCAGCCTAGCTCACAGCAACCTCAAACTCCTGGGCTTAAGCAATCCTTCTGCTGGGACTACAGGCATGCGCCACCATGCCCGGCTAATTTTTTCTATATGTTTTTAGTTGTCCAGATAATTTCTTTCTATTTTTTAGTAGAGATGGGATCTCGCTCTTGTTCAGGCTGGTCTTGAACTCCTGACCTCGAGTGATCCTCCCGCCTCAGCTTCCCAGAGTGCTAGGATTACAGGCGTGAGCCACTGCGCCCGGCCAATTTTAGTACATGTTCTTTAGAAATCTAAATGAATGGAGAGCACTCAGTACAGGCATGCTGGTTTCAATGAGTAAAAAACCTTCCAAAGTCTTTAATGCATCTCCATTTTAGAATTGTACCTACTTCACTTTAGAGACCTGCTTTCTTAAAGTCTGGGATTTTGGCCTCATAATGTACTTAGTCATAATGGACTCTAAGCTAAAATGGCTTAGCTTACCAGTTTCTCTTTTTTTAGTCAATCAGAGAAGCAAGTCTCATTATCATTTTCTCTACCTTCTGTGAGGTGTAGTCATCAACAAAGGAAGTTGAAGGTTTGCTATATATTTGCCTTTA